TTACTTTTGCCGTTTGCTTATGATATATGGCTTCTATTGCTTGGATGAATTTTCTAGCAAAGCCCATCTGTTCCAATAATAATAGCATAAATCTCCAATTCACATTATCAAATGCCTTTTGGGCATCTAGGAATATCAAAGCCATTTGTTTTTCAGGATGCGCCTCATAATATTCCAATGTGTCCAGGATTACCCTCATATTGTCTTTAATTTGTCTCTTTGGTAAAAATCCATTCTGATCAGGGTGAATAAAGTTGTTTAAGTATTTTTTAAGCCTTTCTGCCAAAATTGAAGCAAAGATTTTATAGTCTGCATTCAATAAAGAAATAGGTCTATAGTTCTTAATTTGTAATGGATCGGCCCCTTCTTTTGGGATAAGTGTAATATAAGCTTCTGACCATGTTTTAGGTATTTTCTTATTTAACATAACTTCATTCATGACTTCTAGCAGTGAAGTGCTCAACGATTCTTGTAATGTTTTATAAAATTCAGCCGGAAGCCCATCTGGACCTGGTGCTTTTCCATTATTCTGTCTGTTGAATGCTTCGGTTAATTCCATCATTGTTATAGTGCTTTCTAAAAATTTTCTAGTTTCATCAGGTATCTTAGGTAGGTTAGCATTTTGTAAATACTGTTTAATTTTTCCCTCATCAAGATCCTCCTGTTTATATAATTGTCCATAAAAGTCTCGAATGATTGCCTTTTTCTCATTACCATAACAAATTTGACCTTGATCATCTATTAACTGTAATATTTTCCTTGATTCTTTCTCTTTTCTCAGTTTATATGCTAACCATCTACCTGGCCTATTTGCATCTTCAAAATAGTTCTGTTTAGCACTTCTAATTTTTTGTGCCAGTTCTTCTTTCTCTACTTGATCCATTTTATGTTTGATTATGTCCATTTTAAGTTTAATATCTTTTTTCTGTGGCATTTTCTGTAATTCTTTTTCCAGTTTTTTATGGTCATCTTCTAGAGCTTTAATCGTTTGCCTCTTCCTAATGTTCTTATGACCTTGTTGAAGACTCTCACTTTGTCAAGGACCTTGGAGTTTTCATATCGAATGATCTAAGTGCCAAAGTTCACCGCAACAGTATTGCCAAAAAGGCTTTAAGAATTGTACATTTAATTTTACAAAGCTTCTCCTCTGGTAATACTGATTTCCAAACTAGGGCATTCAAAATTTTTGCTAGACCAATACTTGAATTCACTCTGCTGTCTGGAATCTGCACTGTATATCAGACAAATACAATTGAGCGAGTCCAGAAGTATTTTACCAGAATAAAACTACATTCCTCTGTTCACAACAGAATACCCTACAGCACCAGACTTGAGATCCTAGGCCAGGGGTGGGCAAACTTTTTGGCTCGGGGGCCTCATTGACTTTTAAAATTTGACAGACGGGCCGCCACCTGGTGTCGAAATGCCTGTCATTACAAGTCAAAATCAAATGAATGCAATCATTCAATCATTCACATCAAACCTTAATTCTGTACCAATCTTCGGCGGGCCGGATTAAAAAGACCAACGGGCCGGATGTGGCCCGCGGGCCGTAGTTTGCCCACCCCTGTCCTAGGCTGAGACAACTTTGAACTACGCCGACTAAGATTGGACTTAAGCATTGTACATAAAATCATATGTTACAACATCTTACCAGTTAATGAATATTTCAGCTTTAACAACAACAACAACAACAACACAAGAGCACACAACAGATATAAACTAAATGTAAACCACTCCAAACTTGATTGCAGGAAATACGATTTCAGCAACAGAGTGGTCAATGTCTGGAACTCACTACCTGATTCTGTTGTCACCTGCTCAAACCACTACTCCTTTACTCTCAAACTAACCTCTATTGACCTCACCCCATTCCTAAGAGGTCTGTAAGGGGCGTGCATAAGCGCACAATTGTGCCTATTGTCCCCAATTATTAGTTCCTATTTCTTGTATTTTTATGTTTATTCTTGTTTCTGTTATATTGTATGCTTTTAAAAAATGAAATAAATAAATAAATAACGTTGAATAAAAGAGCCATTGTCAGAATGCAAGGGAAGTTTCAGACTAAAATTGAGTTATTATTATCATGGTTCATCATACAATCACCCAGAGGTTTTAGAATGGTGTTGGCGTTTTTATCTACTTATTAAGTCCTTCCCAAAGCGTTGAATAGACAGATATTCTTGTTTGATGGTGTTAAAGATATCGTCCTATAAGGTTTTCCAAGAATAGATAGTCCTCGACTTAGGATTACAACTGAGCCCCAAATTTCTGTTACTAAGTGGGACATTCATTAAGCTAACCTGGCCCTGTTTTATGACCTTTCTTGCCACAGTTGTTAAGTTAATCACTGCATTTGTTAAGTAAGTCACATGGTCATTAGTTGAATCTGGCTTCCCCATTGACTTTGCTTACCAGACGGTCACAAAAGCAGATCACCTGATTGTGAGACGTGCAACCATCATAAATATAAGCCAGCGGCCAAGCCTCTGAATGTTGATCATGTGACCATGGAGATGCTACAAGGCTTGTAAGTGTGAAAAACCAGTCACATGTCACTTTTTTCAGTGGTGTTGTAATTTCAAACGGTCACTAAATGAACAGTTGTAAGTTGAGTACTACCTGGAAAGCTGCCGTTTGCAATTGACTGATTTTGTCAATGCTGATAATGTAACAAGCAGTGCTTCAGTTATTTTGGGGTGGTACCTATGTTATTATCTTATTATTTGTATTAATCGGTGTTCTGACAGTTTCAGGACTGTTTTTTTGAAGGAAAAACGCCTTTTATTCAGCTGATTTTCTCTGTTTGCCGGAGTTTTGGAAATGCGCACTTCCTCCATTCTTCTTCTAGACCTGTTTCAAGGTTGCAGCTTTATTGGCAACTGTGTGTGCTGATGTTTTCACTTTCTCTGTGCTTCTCCAAACCTTTGAAAGAATTCTAGAGCAAATATTCCTTCAGTTAAACTGAGAAAAATGTAGGAAATAAATTAAAGGAACTGGGACTGCCAAGAACAGACCTGTTAGTTCATAAGAGCTCCAACAGCTTCAGTTAGAGGTTTGTGTGTAATAGGCAGTCCTCAACATATGACCATAATTGAATCTTGCAATTATGGTTATAAGACATGATGCTCATTAAGCAAGTCATCAGGTAACTGATCTGATTTTGTGATGCTTTTGTGATAAATGACCACCATGGTTGTTAAGAAAGCCCATTGCATGCGCTGGTGGTTTTTGTGGAAAACTAAAAGTAAACATTGTAAATGCAGACCATAGCATGTGCGTCAATTTCCCAGGGCACAAAATGCAATCACATGACTGGGGAGACAACTGGGTCATAGGTAGCATTTTGGGGAGTTGTTGTAACTTTGAAGTTTTACTAAGTGATTGGTCATAAGTCAAAGATTAGCAATACTCTTATGCAGTTCTGCCTCAGTTTTCCCCCAAGAGTGAGCCTGCAGAACCATCCAATGTAACCATCATGGATTTTTTTTCTAGGCATCTGCAAGGCTATGGAAGGATCACAGAAACTTTGCTAACTGGAAAGAATAGCAAAAGCACTTAGACTTACATACCGCTTCACAGAGCTTTTCATCCCTTTCTAAGCAGTGCCCCCAACAATCTGGCTCCTCATTTTACCGAACTCAGAAGGAAGGAAGGTTGAATCAAACTCTTGAGAATCAAACTGCTGGCAGTGAGCAGTGAATTAGGCTGGCAGTACTGCATTCTAACCACTGGGCCACCATGGATCTTCCACGGAATGGAAGAAATTGACACATGCCTATGAGAAATCTGAGTAGGTGGGACAATGGGGTAGACGGGAAGGAACCAAAATGATAGGACAGGAATGAGGATCGAGCCAAGAATGCAGATAAAGAGCACCAGCAGCCAAAAGGAGACAGAATGGCCACATCCATGCATTAAATCTTTATCATCATCCATATTTCATTTTTCTTCTTCTTTGGGATTGGCATCTCACTCATTTATTGTCTATAAATGCCTTCTGTGTTTTTCAAGTTTCAATAATGGTTTCAAAAATATATATGAAAATTAAATATAGATGTATTTTGGGCTAGAGTTTACCAATCCCCCAGGTAATAAAGTTGTTCACAGAATGTTAGCTGACAGCTACACTTACTCATAGGCCTCATTCTACAGTGGTGGAAATAGAAATTTAGAAGTTGCAGCAGTCATTTCTTCCCTCCCTCCTTCCCTTCCTCCCTCCCTCCCCTAAGTCTTCATTATTCTGAATCTTCGTATTTCAGACTTAACTTTCACTCTGCTTTTTGGCAGATGTGACAGGTGGCTGGGACATTGATATCATCAGTCTGGTTCTGCCTCCAAAAGCAGTTATTTTCCCCCTAGCAATCATTAATTAAAGGAACTAGAGAAGAAGTGCTACCCAATCAAGTTAGCAGTTGTAATTTAAAATAAATATATTTTGTAGGAGAGAGAGAGAAGAATGAGAGAGGTTTTATTAATCTGGAGTCAGGTTAAATTCAATCCAGCCTAAGTTTTTTATGATGGTTAATCAAAATCTGATTTTAAAGAAAGCAGTCCTGCAGAAATTACTTTGTCTAGGCAGGTAAATAGTTGGGGGCAAAATCACATAGTGCTATTAAGACACCTTTATCTTCAGAGCCTTAAAACTCCATTGCTTCATTGAAAAAAGAATGTATATTATGCACCAAGGGAACCAACATATAGTCTAATATTATCTGGGTTTGTAGACAAATAGCTAATGCAGAAAGGCGGCCCTTCATTAGAGGAAAACAGCTTTCAAAGTAGGTTGCATAGTTTCAGGTGAAAACAAAGGACCGCTTGTGCATCATATGGGAATAAGTATTTATAGAATAACAGCATTTGAAGGGACTTTTTAGGTCATCTAGTCCAACTCCCTGCATGAGTTGGAAACCATATACAATGCCAGACAACTGGCTGTACAGTCTCTTCTTGAAAATCTCCAGTAATGGCAAGTCATTCCATCATTTGATTGTTCTTACCATTAGGAAATTTCTCCTTAGTTCTAGGTTGCTACTCTCCATGATTAGTTTCCATGCATTGGTTTTTGTCTTACCTTCTGGTGCTGGGAAAGAAGAAATATACACTTTGTTAAGTTCGGTCAGTGGGTCCCAAGGATAGGCGAGGCATGAGTAGTGAAGAACAGCTCTTTATTAAGTAGATAGATTCTGAGACAAAAACTCCAGTGCGCGGCAGCTCTCTTATAGAGCTGGCCGTGGCTAGGCAGCCAATGACAGCTCTTTGAGTTTGCCGCGCTTGGTTTTAGCCAATCGCGGCAAACCCTGTATGAGCCAATCAGGAACGTTCAAGCCGTCCAATCACGATCCGGCTTGTCTGGACCAATAGGAATGCAGGGTTTCAAGCCTGCTAATATGGAACACCCCTCCCCTCTTGGTTCCGTCCAAGGGGCGGGGTAACGTAGTCACGTAAGTAGGCGGGTCTTCGGACCTGCTTACTTGACTTGTGCGGTTCATAATGACTCTGGTCGTCGTCGGGTTCGGACGGGCTCTGCGTCGCCCACAAGCTTCTCGCTGGAACCGCCTGGAAGGGTGAGCCGGGCCTATAGCTGTGACTCCCACCTGGTGTATCCGGGTTGGTCGAGTCATTTGCTCTGTCGCTCCCACCTGGACTCTCTGGGCTGGTTGAGCTTGTCTGGCTGCTACTTCCAGGTGAAACCCATCTGCCTCGGTTCAATGTTTGTAGGTGAGTATTGCTGGTTTAATGTTTGATTTTTATTTAATGTGTGTGTGGGGTGTTCTGCTTGCGCAGATACCGGTTCTTTTTCTACGTTTGAGGTTTCCCCCCCTCTGATTCCTTGGTTAGAGTCCGTGAGGGGAAGGGTGACCAGTCTGGACCTCAGCTGGTCAATATGCCATTTCCAAGTCCTCCCGTCAGTGGTCTCGAGTTGGTAGGAACGAGGGCTGGTGATTTGGGTGATTTTTGCAGGAAGCCAAAGTGGGTCCCCGGTAAAGTTTTTGCCGAAAACAGTGTCTCCTACGTTGAAGGTGCGGTGTCTGCTATTAGATCCAGGGGGTTTCTCTGGAGTGTAGGTAGGGTGCAGGTGATCTAGGGGTGACCGGAGCCTTCTGCCTATTAGCAGTTCATTGGGGCTTTTGTTGGTAGTGGTGTTGGGCGTGATGTGTTGTATTAGAAGCATTTTGTTGATTTTCTCGTGGATGTTGCCATGTTCAATCTTTTGGAGAGGTTTTTTTTTGTGAATTGAACCATGCGTTCAGCTCGCCCATTCGCCGCCGGGTGAGCGGGCGATGTTAATGCGTGTCAGATGCCATGGTCTGCCAAGTATTGCTCGAAGGCCACTGCGGTAAATTGGGGTCCATTGTCAGATACTATCACATCTGGCAGACCGTGCGTGGTGAAAAGTTTGTTTAATTTTTTGATGACAGCTTCCGTGGTGGTCGTTTTCATTTTGCTTACTTCGAGCCAATTTGAGTAAGTATCGACAGTGATCAAAAAGGTATGCCCTTTGGTTGGCCCTGCGAAGTCAATATGAATGCGTGACCAGGGGCCTCTGGGGGTTTCCAATTGTAACGGTGGAGCTGTTGGGGGAGCCGAGCGAGTCTCTTGGCATCTGCTGCAAGCGGCGACCCAAGTTTCAATTTTTTTGTCCATGCCTGGCCACCAAGTGTAGCTTCTGGCCAGGGCTTTCATTCATACAATGCCCGGGTGCCCGTCGTGCAGCATGTCTAAAACTCTTTTCTGTAATGTTTCTGGTATAACCACCCGGTCTCCCCACAGGATACACCCCCTTTGTGAAAAAAGTTCAGTTTGCTGGTTTTTAAACGGTTTAAAGAGTTCATTTTTCTCGCTTTCTGGCCAACCCCTCTCCACCCAGTTGAGGACTCGCGCCGAGCGTTTGTCCCTTCTTGTTTCTCGGGCAATGTCTAGCACGGTCAATGTTGGCGTGGATACTGTTTCTATTTGCAAAATTGACAATGTGGGTGCTGGGTCATCTTGCACGTCTGGGAGGGGGGATCGGCTTAAAGCATCGGCGTGCGAGATGGTCTTGTCGGGTTGATGTATTAATCGGTAATTATAGGCGGCAAGAAATTCAGACCATCTTGTCATCCTAGGTGACAGGATGTGTGGAGTGGGTTTGTTTCCAGCCAAAATGCCAAGTAGGGGTTTGTGGTCCGTAATAATAGAAAATGTCCTACCATAAATGTATTCGTGGAATCTTTTTACCGCGGCAACGATGGCTAGGGCTTCTTTGTCCAGCTGGCTGTAGTTCCTCTCCGGCTTGGACAGGGTTCTGGAGAAGAATGCAACGGGGACTTCTGTCCCATTTGGCAAGGTGTGGCTTAGGATTGACCCAACACCAAAGGGTGATGCATCGCAAGTAACAGTCAGTGGCAGGGTTTCGTTATACTGAATGAGGACTGCTTCAGAAGTCAAAAGGTTTTTTATTTGTTGAAAAGTGTGGTCCTCTCGCCATCCCCAGATCCAGGGTGCCTTTTTATCCAGGAGCCTATGCAAGGGTTCCGCGACAGTCGCCTTCTGGGGTAGGAAGACATTATAGAAATTAATGAGTCCAAGGAATGCTTGGAGTTCTGTTTTATTTTTCGGCCTGGGGGCTTCTTTGATGGTTTTTAATTTTTTATCAGTAGGGTGAATTCCATGTTTGTCCAGGAGGTATCCCAGGAATTCTACCCTTTCAGTGCATAATTGGCACTTCTCTTTTTTTACTTTGAGGCCGGAGTCTTTAAATTTTTGTAGGACTGCTCTCAGTCGTTTCTCCAATTGTTTTTTATTAGGGGCTGCTACTAACACGTCGTTGAAATAGGGTACGACTCCCTTAATTCCTTGCAGCAGTCTTTCCATTAGGCTTTGGAAAACCCCAGGTGTGACGCTGACTCCAAATTGGAGTCAGTTGCATTTAAATGCCCCTCGATGTGTCACGATTGTTTGAGCCTCAGCGGTTTCAGCATCGACTGGCAGCTGTTGATAGGCTTGTGCCAGGTCGAGCTTTGCAAAGATTCTGCCACCCCCCAGTGAGTGTAGGAGATGTTGGACTACTGGCACAGGGTAGGCACTCTGCTGCAGGGCATGGTTGAGGGTGGCCTTGTAGTCTCCACAAATTCTCAGGGAGCCATCTGGTTTGATGGGGTTGACAATGGGTGTTTCCCATCAGGCATGGTCGATAGGTTCTAATACACCTTGCGCTCTGAGCTTATTTAATTGCTCATCTATCTTAGGCTTGAGTGCAAATGGCACTCGGCGTGGCTTGAGGCGGATGGGAGTGATGTCAGGGCTAAGATTGAAGGAGATTGGGGACCCCTTGTACTTGCCTAAGGTGTCATCGAAGACCTCTTGGAAGTCCCGTACGAGCGTCGCTTCCCAATCTTCGTCATCTGTGTGATTGATGCCTGCCATCATGATCCCTAGCGGTGTGAACCATTGCAACCCGAGTAGGCTGGGGTGGTCCTTATCAACAATTGTAAGCGGTAAAATATTGGTGCGGTTTTTGAAGGAGATTTTGAAGTGTCCGATGCCAGCCACTGGGATGTGGTTCCCTTGATAGTCCCTCAGAATCAATTTCTGGCCGCTTAGTTCTTGGCAGCGTATGCTGGGTATTAAACGCTTTATGGTCCACCAGGAGACCATGGAGAGGTAGGAGCCAGAATCTACCTCCATGGTGCATGGTTGGATTTCGATACCAACTTCGATGCATATCTTCCATGCATCAGACGGTGAGGAGTGAGCGATGATGACTGTTTGGTGTGTTTCTTCTCTACGCAGTGCCTCATTGAATCTTTTGTTTCGGCCGCCCCGGCTCCACCGGCTGTCAGTCTGGTGGTCCTGGTTTCTGGAGGGGGTGCCATCTAGTCTCCTCGGGCTGTTGCCTCGACGCCGGGGGCTGAAGTTTCTTTTATTGCGGCATACTTTAGCAATATGCCCCTGCTTCTCGCAATGTCAGCAAACAGCATCCAGGAACTTGCATTCGGAACGTGGGTGATTTCCTCCGCAGCCAGCACACTGGTACCCCGACTTGCGACCGCGCCGGTCTCGCCGCTTGCGTTCTGACTGAAGTCGGTGAATTTCTTCTTCTTCGCTGTTAGAGGGGGATTTGGCGTCGCCATGGTGGGTGGTGGTTGCGAGTTTTTCAGGTGTGGTAGTTGCCTCGCTAGTCGATTGACGATCGGTTCCATTTGAATGCTGCATTCGGGCTGCTGACTTGCGGGTGGCTTCAGCTGCAGTCACTTCGGCTATGGCGTCGGCGAGGGAGATGTCACCCTTGGCCATTAGTCTGCTTTGGAGTGCTGGATCTTTCAGGCCGAGAATGACCCGGTCTCGCATGGCCTCATCCAGGTTGGTGAATCCGCACAACCCTCCAAGGTCCCTCAGGTCAGCCACGAATTCACCGATGCTTTCACCCTCACGCTGGACTCTTTGGTAAAAATCATGCCTCCGGATGAGAGTTGGTATGGCCGGAGCATAGTGGTTTCGGAGGATGGGAGCTAGGTTGTCCCAATCCATTGTTTTGACATCTGCGGGCTTTGCTAGTGCCTTGGCCATTTTGAAAACGGCGGATCTGCAGTGCGTTAGAAATACCGCCTGTTTCTTGCTGCCTGTGGTGTCTTTCAAGTTGTTGGATTCCAAAAACATTTGGAAACGATCAATGTAGGACTCCCAGTCCTCACTGGCAGGGTGGAATGGTGCGGGCGGCGTGGTGCTGCTGGCCATTTCGCTGGTCGTCTTGGCACCGTTTGCCGCGTGCTGGTTAGCCTCGTTGTCTCAGAATCCCATCCTCATCGCCAGTGTTAAGTTCAGTCGGTGGGTCCCAAGGATAGGCGAGGCATGAGTAGTGAACAACAGCTCTTTATTAAGTAGATAGATTCTGAGACAAAAACCCCAGCGCGCGGCAGCTCTTCTTATAGAGCTGGCCACGGCTAGGCAGCCAATGCCAGCTCTTTGAGTTTCCCGCGCTTGGTTTTAGCCAATCGCGGCAAACCCTGTATGAGCCAATCAGGAACGTTCAAGCCATCCAATCACGATCCGGCTTGTCTGGACC